TTACATTATCCATTTATGCCACAATTCTTTTCAGTATTAGTCCAAGCTCTCCTCTTCTGTTGACCAACTTCACCAGGTTGTCCAAGTGGAGATCCAGCTGAGCCAGGAACTTTGTTTGAGGGGGGATGGTGGCAATTCTCTTAAACTCAGTGTTGATCTGAAAACATGAGCACAGAGGAATGAGCTTCAAAGGTTTACTACCTGGAAGAAGGCTGCAATCACTCATACTGAAGAAATGGGCTGTCAAATAACAACTGTGCCTTAACCATTTTAGGCTAATACCACAAGAACACCGTGTATGAGGCAAACCTTACCTCATGGAAATCAAATAGATCAGGCCATCTTGCCATGAAAGCCTCCACCATTGGTGCATCATGGACAACTTCATGTCTTCTGTATGAAAAAGTCTTTTCCATCTTGAGTTTCACCAACTCTGTTACTCTTTTTTTATGTCCATGTGGTGGGCTTTGGCATGTCAATAGCTTTAAGAGTCCCTTTGTCTGCTACTTCTGAAACTGAGATGAGGTTAAGAAACTCATTCCCAAACAAGGAATCCATAAACTGAAGTCTGAAACTGCCCTGAAGACAACACTGTCTCTTGACTTCAACGATGAGATCCTCAGTTGATTCAGGCGCTCCATTAGAGAGTGAGCCAAAACAGTCTTTAGGACCATAGGACTGTAGGCAAAAAAGAATGACATATTCAGAAAGAATCCTTTCAGTTTAGTTTTCATAAAGCTATCCATACCCAATAGTCAAAGTTATAAAGATCAGACATAAAAAAGAAGAATTTATCTAATGAAATACATGCGACTGAACCTATTACACTTATATGAACACCTTTTATTTCTATATGCCTTTTTAAAGTCACAATGTGGACTGATCCAATCTCATAGACAACCAATGGATAAGTTTCAAGGAGTTCACAGAGTGAAATGAGAGTGGATATTCTTGATGATACTGGGTTGAGCTCAAAAGCTCTGTCGTGCTCTCTGTACCAGCCACCAAGCTCTCTGACAATGTAGAATATGCTGTGGTACAATGCAGATATGGTTTTTCAGTATTCTGGCAATCCACCTGCTGCCCTTTGGGCCAGTACCATTCCATTTCTATAAGTTATGCCCTTTAATGTCACACACTGTGCAAGGTTGACCTCTAGAATGTCAGGGAATATGTACCTAATGACTTAAGCTATCTCCTCTTTAACTCTTTAAATCCACTAGAAAGGCCGATACAGCTGAGCTCTCTAATTCAGACTTGCCAAGAGATGGGGAGTTTAGATAGTAAGCTATCATCATCTGATGTTTTGACTTCTGTAATCATAAAGGTAAAAATTCTACCATCACAAAAAACATTAATTTTAATTGAAAAAAGGTATTCCAGTCCAGAAGAGCATCAATGGTTTCTTTAAAGTACCAATCTTTCCCTCATTTATACATAATGTTTTGAGAAGCAGCTCACATATGTTCTACACAAACTAGAAAAAAAGAGGGGGGGAAAGGGTCCTAATTTGTTTTGGGCCGATGTTGGAAAATTCACAATACATCACTTAATAAGACATAGTCTGTTGGACAAACTTATCTCCTTGTAGATATCTGCTGTATTACTTGGCCGTGACCAATAGAATAGTCAAGTAAGTGACACTTCACCTAAAACAATGACTAAATGGAAAAATGATTTGGCATTTATGGGCACAGGTTCTTAAACCCACGTCTAAGGTGGCAGGATCCTTATTATAACTGCTGCGTGTCAGCAGCAAGAATTAAGGTATAGCACTGTGGGGCTCCCAGCTTCTTAAACTCTGACGGTTACAGCCGGACTAATTAGCCACTGTAGCCATAACTAGCACGAGTAACACAAACACTACTGCGCTCTCTCAGTGATGTTTTAACTTGCTAAGCCATCAAAAACGTCAGTGCTCTCTGTCACATGCATAAATTCCATATCTGACCGACAACAGCTGCAATTTGTTACTATTTTTCAGTTTTAGCCACAAAGCTAATACCAACTTTAGCTAGCACTGTAAAAACAACATGTAGATGCATTACAGATTAATTTTTATATAGCATGCACTACAACACATCTGTGAAAACGTACCCAACTAAAACAAATGTATTTAAATTACTTACCTTCTCAGTATGCCTGACTCAGTGCCAAAGGTTGCATGTGGCTAAACAGTCTTCCAGAATCTGGCGGTCAATTGCGCTCTCCTTAAATTATGTTGTTGTCTTATTGGATAAGACTCTAGGTCTTATTATCCAATCATATTTAGTTGTTGTCTTTGAATATATTGCATCATTTCCGGTTGTTGTCAAACATGATTACAATGGTTTTAGTATTCTAATTTAGTCACTTTAAATCAATGCAAGAAAAATGAGTAGTCTCAGTATTGTTTATAATCAAGTAAATGGTACTTTATTTAATCATGTAAATAAGAGAAACATGAAAGGCTTGTGTAGCATTAACTAAATTCATTTGTGCAAATTCAAAAGCCTGCCAATTCCCATTTTTTCAGTGTACTTTAAATAGTGTCTTTAGGCACTTTGTTTCTAGCAGCCTATTGCAAAAACATACAGTTTGTTTAGTTGAATCTATAACAAATGTAAAGTTAGTTGCATTTAGCAGACATATAGTTGTACTTCTGCCAATAATCAAGATTATTCGCAAAGAATCATTAGCTTTATAAATCTGAGGAAGTTGAGGAGCAAAAAACATAAATAAGTGTCAGGCCTAAAAAATTACCAAAGACTGAGGATTAGTATCTGAAAGTCATGTCCTTAAGAGATGTTTCCTGTTTGTCATGCAAAATATTGGACCAAGCTCAGCACTCACATAGCAGAGATTTCACAATTAGGTGCTGGCTCTCTAGATAATGCCTCTTATCCCAGTGACACACAAGGGGGAGCTTGTTTATTCACCATTGAGAAGACACCCAACACTGTGCTTCCAAGAGGGTCAGTAACCCTGCATATATCTTCACTTATGGTGTAACATCTCTTTTCCACTATAACAACAGCTGTATGTTAAAACAACACAGCACAATATGCAGGAACAAAACTAAGTAAGTTTCATAACAATAACAGATACAGCAAAGACAATTTCCTTAAACTTAACATGAAGCACAGTTTGCCAGAGGCATGATGGGAGATAACATACAGATTACAACAGATTACATTCAGCCAAATCTTGGAGGTTTTGGGGAAGGCAATGCTGGCAAGGCCTTTTTTCCTCTATGGGCTATAAACCCACACCTGCCGGGTGCAAGACCTTGGGCACGATACACGGAGTCCAAAGTACCATCAGGGTGTACACCCCACCCCTGGCATCGTTGCCCACCTCTCAATTTTAAATACACGTAGACATTGAGGGCTAGCAGGAGGGACCATGCGCTTACCTGCTGCTCTCTGGCAGGTAGCTCCATGCCCTCCTGGGTTTTAAATGCACCTTAGAACACACATGCATCAACACTACAATGAGCGGGTGGAGGGAGGTTTGGAGTCTTCTCTCACCCCCGTTCTCTGCGACCTGCTGGAGCAGGGGGGCTAGGAGGAGGAGTTGGCCGTCCGACTGCGGTCTGGAGTGTGGAGCCTTCCTGCTGCTGCGGAGTCGGGGCCGTCTGCCTCCCCCCACCGCAGGGAAAAGGGAAACACCACCTGGGTCTGGGTGCAGTTCCCCCCTCCAGGGGCGAGGGCACCTAGACCCGGTTCGTAAAGTACGCTTGGGGAGTGTGATCGTGTGTACAACGTCTCTTTATGTCTGTCTCCACGTTGGTTGAGTGTGGAGTAAGTGCATATGAGAGCATGAGGGTGGGAATGGATGTTTGTATCTGTGTGTGCCTGTATGTCTGTGTCTATATGTCAGGTTGGGTGTCAGGCGCCACCTCTCTGGGGACATCTCAGGCCCTCCAAGGTTTGGAGGCCTATCTCCCCCCACCACCACTTCCCCTGCCAGTGGCGGACCCCCTCAGACATCGGTGCGTTGGTGGTTCTTTGTGTCCGGGGATGGGCGTCCAGGTACACACCGGCTCACTCCTTGGCGGCCGCTTATCGGGGCCTGGAGCCTGGGGCTCGCTCGGGCCACTTCGGAGGTGGGGTGCCCCCGGCCTCTCGGCCTGGGGCTCGGTCACTCAGGCACAGCTGGCTGCCGGCGGAGCTCACGGGCGCGTCACTGCAACTCCCCCTGGCTTCTGCTCCGCGGCTGCTGAGTGAGCCCTCATCTGGGACTCTCCTCAGCTCTTACTGAGACAGTGGCGCGGCTGCCCCTCTGTTGGTCTTCCTTGGTCTCTTGTGTTCTGGGGGCCTCTGGATGTCTGGAGTTTTGATCTCCGCCATACCTGCTTCATACCCTGGAGGACGGGGCTGTGGCTCCCCTCACTCCCTAGCAGATCGTTACATGGAGAAACCTTTGGAATGCAAGCATGCTGATCCACACAGGTATGCACACAGGTGTACACACGGGTATTCACAGACGCGGACTACAGCTTTCTTGGCTGCTGCCTCAAAGCACATTGTGCGCTGTCTATCTTGCGTGCTGCACAATATCGTTTATTATTTAGTATCTACTGATATCTACTGCTAGCTAGTTTATTGTGATGGTGCCGTTTTTTTTTATTATGTTGCTCTTTGTTGTTTGCTTTCTCTTCTGTTTTTTTTCTCCATACAGGTGACCCAGGTGTTTTGTTTTTTTTGTTGTTGTTTTTTTTTTTCTTTCTTCCCCCCTTCTCACCGGGTCACCTGAACAACTGAAAATAAAATAAATACATAATTATAATAAAGGTCAATCAAATGGACCAATATGGCAAGGCCATGATGATCCACTTGGTAAAATAAATCCGCTTGGCATCTTTCTTGGCCTTAAGACAACAATTCTGATGGCTAAAGATCCAAACGGGACACAAAAAAAAAAAAAAAAATAAAAAAATGAGACAATTTGGTGAAATTACAGGTTTCGTGCAGCACCAACATGTAAAACCACTTTTTTGTTCTGCTCAATTCCTGCAGGTAGGGTGCATGAGAGCTGTCCCGGCTGTCCATATTTACCTCGCAATAATGAGGAAGCTGAAGTTCAGAAGACTGTGACCAAGTCTCTGGAGAAATTCCACAACCAGAGCAGGCTGGCCAATCGGTTCACTCTGCTCAAAATCTCCCGTGCTACTGCACAGGTCAGATTACCACATATCCAAAAGAAACATCAAGATATGTGACATAGAAACATGCTATCTAACCAAATACTTACTGGCTTACTTAGGCCAGGAAGTAAAACATCCTATAAGGTAGAGGTGGGAATCACCATACATCCCACGATACGATATTATCACAATACTTAACACACGATACGATATTATTGCAATTTTTAAAAATATTTTGCGATATTCAGATTCTGTACATAAAGGTAAACTTTATCAATATTCATTATATCTAATATCAAAGTCTCGCACTCAGTCTTTCTCTCATTTCAGTCAGTTTTATTGTTGACAAACTGAACGGTTTGTATTACAGTCTAGTCCAACTTAACTGAATGCAACCATCTGGTACAATTATAGCTATTCTGAACTATGCAATTTATGAAAACTATGCAGCCCCTTCAGCAACTGAAGAACTTGAAAGTAAATTAAAACAAAATATAATTTTACATTAAATAAAAAAGTTTTAAACTTAATTAAAATAAAACATGTCTTAAATTAAAATACGTAAACTGTCATGTTTATTGCTGCCAAAAAAAAAGTTAAACACATTTGGACATTGAAGGAATGTCAGGATTCTTGCTCAGAAAAAGGATCAACATGCTCTGAAGTCAGAGCACAAAAACTTTTTTTGTAACAAAATATCGATTTCTGCTGTCCCTGTATCGATACATTATTAGCAAACAAAATATCACGATACTACACAGTATCGATTTTTTCCCCCACCCCTACTATAAGGACACCCAGAACCTTACATGCAATGTCTGCAGTTAAACACTATAGCTGATTGCCCCCCCCCCCCCCCCCCCCCATCCTAGATGTGTAGGAGAGGAGCAGAAAAATCTCTAAACATACAGTTTAAGACGAGGTTTAATTTTAGTACAACAATGACAACTATTATCAAAATCAACCTAACACTGGGTGACACTGAAAAACTAGCGCATACAGTCATTACTTCTGGGCTAAACTGTTATAGTTCAGTATTGTCACTTTGTGCAAAAGGTTCACTGAAAAGCCCTCGATCAATCTGAAATGAATGAGAATATTAACAGGGATAAGAAAGATCTTTTATTCATCATGGACTCTCATTTAGATTGACATATTGTTATGCTTTTTGTGTTTGTGTTTCCAGGTTGTCGCAGGTTCAATTTACCGTGTGGAATACACCATCCAGGAGACCACCTGCCCCCACAGCACAGAAGCAGTGACGGCTGAGAACTGCCCCCCTATGGACTGCGAGTTTGCTGTGAGTCAGGAGAAAGAATTATTAGTCTCACTCATGTAAAGTTGTAGTCAGACGGGTTGATGAGATCAGTGCAGTATGGCTTTTCTGATCAGGGGGTCATTTTAGTTTTAATGCTGCAATCAAAGACCTCTGCTTTCCACTCAAAGCTCTGATCCAGTGTGTTCTAAGTTCTACTGACTAGTTTGTGACAGCAGAGGATTACTTTTTCATTCAGTATGTGTAATTGTTCCACCGTAGTAAAACCACAGGCATCCTCAATCCTCTGCTTTCTTAAGTTTTTTCTTCTTTTTCTCTTCTCAGCACAAGGGCTTCTGTAAGGCATCCCTCTTCCAGCCTCTTTTTGATGAGGAGCAAATTAATGTCGACTGTGAGCTCTATGTGCCTGAGGTAAGACTCATTAACATCCATCCATCCATCCATCTTCATCCGCTTATCCGAGGTCGGGTCGCGGGGGTAGCAGCCTAAGCATTAACATGTCATATCTGTATTGTTCAAATATCCTTCAGTCGCATAGGGAACAGTGTAAGTAATAAATGGTGATGGGGGACCTAAGAAGGCGCTTAGTTTCCTTATGCCTTGGGCTGGCTCTGTTTTGTAAACTCTTTATTATAGTACACTCTGTATAAAATCTCCAGGCTGCTAAGAGACAGATGATGCTCCCCCTGCTGGGTGGAGAGACTGACCACAGCCACAACGACACACAATCACACAGCCACGACCACACCAAGAGCCACTCGCATCATGGCCACAACAGGAACCAAACTGATGACCACAATCACCACCAAACACATGACCATGCCACAGGCAGTTCCCACAGGCACTGGGACCACTCCCACGACCACGGTCTGAACCACGATCATGTGCACACTCATCATGCCAAGGCACACAACAAGCACGCTGTAGGTGTGCACATCCATGAGCATGACCACGAGCTGGCTCTGGACCACGACCACAAGCACGGTCACCTACATGAACACGAGCACCACCACCATCCCCACGAGCACGAACATGAGAACACACCCCACGATGATGCAAAGGGAACAGTGATAGTCCTGCCTGCCTTGGGCCAGCCTGTGACCTTGTCTTCCTTCCCTGATGTCCCCGCCGGTGGGCCTGGAGTTGGAGTCACTCTCCCACTTAAGCCTGACCCTCAGGTTCCCGGACAGATGGAGCCCGCCATCGAGCCCTTCCCAACCTCAGTCTCTGCCCTGTGCCCCACCAAAAAGGGAGGGGATCAAGGTGTGGGGATTCTCTTTGCTAATGACCCCATGTTCAAGCCGGCTGCATAATGTGGTGTATGAAAATGTAATAAACACAGTGTGCAAAACTCATTTAATTACTGAAATATATAAATAAATAAATAAATAAATAAATAAATAAATAAATAAATAAATGTGTGTGTGTGTGTGTGTGTGTGTGTGTGTGTGTGTGTGTGTGTGTGTGTGAATGGACTGGTTCTTACACCGTATAGCGCTTCCTTATGCTACCTGAGGACTCAAAGTGCTTTATAGAACTTCATTCTTATTCGACCTCATTCACTCATTCATAGAGGCACTGTTTTCTATGCTTTTACTACATAAGTGCTTTCTAACATCGACACACATTTATATTTCAAAGGAAACATCAGAGAGCAATCTGGGACAATGGGCCCATATGGGTCACAAATGGCATGTTTGCTGGGAAGGTACACTTTAGTTGAGACAAGTGGCTTTATTGTCATTCCAACCGTGTGCAGTGGTACAGTACACAGTGAAGGTGTGTGTGTATATGGGATTCTGCAGCTAGGTGCTTGGTACTTTAAAATTAGTTCGTTGCTAAGTTACATGTAATGTATTAATGCTGACATCCCTTGGTTTAGGTAATGTTTTTCTCCTTGAATCATGTATCGGTTAGTGTTAAGTGGCTTAAAAACTGAAAACATTCTGCTGAAAAGGTTAAAGTACAAAGGAAAACTGAAAAACAGAAAATTGTCCAGTAAGCCTGAGGAACTATTGCTGTAGATCAGTGGTTCTCAAACTTTTCACAGTGAGTACCACCTCATAAAATATATGGCTGTTGAAGTACCACCCTTATGATTAACATTAAAGTACAATAGTATAGGCCTATTTAACACCATATACAGTTTGCATGAGACAATTTTATTTCTTATATGAAAATTATTTATTTTAACTGTCATAAAGAGGACGTGACAAGTGATAATAATAACAACTGTACTGCATTAAAACATTCACAGCAGGTGGGATATCTTTAAGTGATGACGTATGAACCCTACTACCGGCTCCAAACTACTCTGGGTTTATTAAGGCTGTTGTGTTTTTAACATATTTTAATGCTTTGTATTTTGTTCTATTTAATCTGAACAAGCGTTTATTTACAGTGGCAGCAAAATGACAATAAATCCCCGTGCACTTCCATGACTCCCGTGTCGTGTCTTCTTCTCCAAAGTCCATGCTCAGTGCTCTCCACTCCCGTGTGTCCCCACACCCCGTGCTTGCTGCCCTGCGGTGTTCCACGCTCCTCCTGAGGGGAAATAACAGAGGCAGCCATCAAGACACTTAATTCCAGTAGGCATACACTCACAGACGCTAGATGACTGATGTGGAGTCTCACACAACAATCCAGCGTCAAAGAGCGCTCAGCCAAACTGTTAAATAGCTCCCAGACAAGGCTTGATCAGGTGTGTGTGATTCTCCTCCGCAGGTGTGGCCTGGCTGACACACCCACCAGGCCTGAAGAACGGGTGCTCTGCCACATACACACACCCACACACACACCTATACACAAACATAGAACAGCAGCACCAAAAATACACATGTCCGTATTTTGATTCAAAAACATTTTTCATATTACTGTAGTTTAGTAGGATTATGACTTTTACTGAAGTAAAGCAGTACGAGTTCAAACTATTTTCAGACACTCACACGGCGCTGATGTTCATGTAATGCATCTGTTCTAGCACAGCAGGCTGCACACGAGCATGCAGAGTGTTTGCTAATGTGACAAAAACGATTAGGAAAAAAGTGAGTCAACCTCTAATTCACATTTCAGGAAACACTCCAACAGAAATATTTACAGAAGATAAAAGTATATCCAAAACTCTTTGATCGATTCCTGCAGCATAACTCAAACTTTTTCTAAACTCAACTAATAGATAGTTTTCTTCATTTTGAAAAAAGAAATCAAATGAACAAAAAGCACAGCTAAAGAGCACACACTCCACTGTTGCTAGCCCATTAAGTTTTATATGATACCACTGACATGAGCTTTTTAGATTTGCCAGTTACAGTTACTATGAGGAAGTATGAACTGGCACACATAAAATAAAAAGAAGAATCAGCAGCAGAGAAGTGGCTTACACTGATGGAGTGCTTTGCAAATGGCCCTCACTTTCTTTTAAGCTTCGATGAGATGAGCTGAGAAGAGTTCTGCTAATCGAAAGCTCACAGGCATTCCTGTTCATCAAGACTGCGTGACTTCATTTCTTAAAGAATTTTTTTTTAAGTAATATTCAAGAACTGAAATGAGGTGTGCAGTGAGCTTTTTCATTGATTTGCCCTGTTCCCCAGTGCACTGTGACCGCTCAGTTTGTCTGAGCCAGTCATTGGCCTGCAGAGCAGCCGATAGCAGCTGTTTGTTCATCCTTTCAGGAAGAGGAGAAAGTCCAGCATCAGTCTCACATGTGTCTCTCACAACTCTTTGTGTAAAAACTGGGATTACTTATTAGGTCCTGCAAAAGAAGATTTCCAGGTCAATGCATGTTTCAGTTTCATTATTAAATGATCTGCCAGCATAAGATTTAGTAATTCAAGTAGGTGGGATTTTTTGTTTTATTAGGACCAGTCTGTATGTGTGTTAGATGAGGATGAGTGTGTACCTGCTGGTCGTATGTTTGGCTTTGCTGCCCCAGGGAGGGGAGGCCTCGGACCCTCCAGGCTGCATGAGCCCTGATGCAGTGCGAGTGGCAGAAGAGGCGTTGGAACAGATCAACCAGGACAGGAAAATTGGATACATCTGGAGCCTCAACAGGCTCTATGATCTGTCTCACACTCCAGAACAGGTCAGGGTGAATTATGCATATGCATGCACAAAGACATGATCATGCAACAAAGGCATGCTGCAACATATTGACCAGCAGCCATATTGTTTTTATGTTAGAAAAGTCACAAAAGGAAGAAAGAAAATAGAGTTGCTTATTTATGAATGTGTCCAGGGGAAAGATGGATCTCTGTACAAACTAACCATCGATGTCATGGAGACCAAATGCCACATCACCAGTGGAAAACCGTGGAAACAATGTGAAGTCAGAAATATTGGGAATGTTCCAGTAAGTACCAAGCAATGCACATGTCACAGAACACATTATAATCTGAGACGATGTTTGAAGGTGAATATGTCAAAGATAAAAGCCTGAAATGTTTACTGGTCTATATTACCATGCCTGATATTTGAATGTATGCAAACTTTGGGCCGCACATTTTTCATGCAAATTGTGGAGGCAGAGGAAAAAATATCTTTAAAAATATGATTTGTGATTGGATTGACCCAGGTCTTCAAAATGAAAAATATGCACACATAACTACATTATAACTAGCATCTTGAAACTCCAGCATTTTTGACACTATTTGCACAGGACAATCAGGACAAAAATGATATTTTTGTGATATAAATTGTTATAATCCGGCATCAAAATTAAAGGAAATTTTCATTTTCTTTATTTTTGTAACCAAGAATGTAATGTTAAAAAGTATTCTACATGCTTTATTTTATAGTGTTAGAGTCACCTCAGCACAACTATTGGCGCTGTACAAATAAACTGATCTGAAAAACTTGAATTCAAAATGAGAGTTTGAATGGTGGATTTTTTACCGGCCAATACTTTGACATTTTTTGACATATCTGTCCCAAGTTATAGATCCTGATTCATTTCACAATACCAGACTGACAAAAAATATTTAGGTCTTTTTTTAAGTAAAGCTGTATAAAATTATCAGAAAATTTGACTTAAAATACCAGAAGTTGCAGCGACAACCTTTTCAGAGTTTTAATACAGTGAGTCTTCTGTTGTCTTTGTTTTACAAAGCACTGCATTGTAATGCATACATTCATATGTTCTGCATGTATGAGCTTAGTAAAGTGTAAATAGATAGTTTTTTTTATGAATGTATGAAATTTCTTAGCTGCTGTGGTTCACCTCTTACACGTACATGTGTCTTTAGCTACTGTATAAATGTGTTTGTGTATTTCAGGTGTATGGAGAGTGTCAAGTATCTGCCTATGTTCACACTCAAGTCAAACTACAAAGCTACTCCTGTACAATTCGTGAAGGTAGATCAAAGCATCACTGAGACTCTTCTGTATTTTTGTCAACTTCACTGTATAAAACAGAAAATTATTTACAGCGTCTTAGCCACAGAAAGCAATCAGACTCTGTTTTGTTCACACAACAGTTCCAACACTGTTACATTTCTATCACCTACATCTGTCTTTTTATCTAAAGCCCTCCCTCATGTAGGAACAACTCTGCATTTTTTTTTTCAACAAATTAGCAAGACGGTGAGAAGATTCTCTGATCAAAAAACCTCAAAGAGGAAGAGTTTTCAGAATATGAGTTTGTTGTCTTTGGTGAACAGGACAGTGCAGACATTAGAGAGTGAAGTGGGGGCAGACTGAAGAATAATGACACACAGGAAATGGTGTGGGGGCAGAGAGTCAGACCCAGACCTGTGCAGTGAGGACTCTAGCCTTCAGTACTAACCAGGTGCTACAGCAGCACCTGAGCCAGCTCGATATAAACCTGTCAGGAACTAGCAAAGCTAAAAATACTGATGCACAAACATGATAGAAGGGGTGATAGTTACACTCGCAGTAGCACAGGAACAGAGCAGGAGAGGGAGAGAAAGAGAGCCAGGGTTGTTGCAAGAGACAACATCGTCACATTAGAAAGGTATAGTAATGAAACTGAGTGACACCAAGAAAAGAAGCAAAATCTGGAACCATTTCAATTTTATTGACAATACAAAGGCAGAGTGTAGAGTCTGCAAGAGAAGGATATCATATAGAGCCGGCTCCACAAACAACCTGCGCAGGCGGCTGAGAACTGTCCACCCATCAGTGCAATGGAAGGAACTGGGTGTGAGTGGAGCCCTCCAGTGGTTCACCACAAGACAGAACTCAATTGATAAAGACCTGGCAAAAATGACTGCACTTGATTTTCAACCATTTCCAGTTGTGGATGTTAAAGGATTCAGAAAGAATATTCATGCACTGAATCCTGTGTATGCAATTCCAACCAGGAAAACCCTCTCCCAAAAAATCATCCCAGGCCTATATGACAGAGAATGTGCATTTTCTTTTGTTTTGCATATTCATTTATATGTTATTGTGTTGTTGTTTGCATTTTATGACAACAATTTTATATTGTTGTTGATAATAAATTAATTAAAGCAACAAAACAACCTGAAAAGCCGGGTGGGAGCCGAAAGGGCCGGCTCTCTACAAAGAGCCGGAATTCCCATCACTAGTAAACCAGAACGGGCAGATGCATTTCTGAGGGCTGAACTATAGACTCACAAGAATCTCATCAATTTCAAGTTCCAAGAAATAAACATCAGTAGTGATAATAAACTTTGCTTAAAAAAAAATAAAAAAAAATAAAAAACTCGACCCATATCTTGATAATGACAGATTTTTCTTTTTCTATTAAATTTTAGTAAATCTCACTTTTATTAAGAAATTGGCTCTAACAGAGGTAAATAACCCATATGAAACATGGATGTGGTCTGTCTTGGTTGACATAGGGATAAAGTAAACATCTATTAAGGGTTCAATTTCTATGGTTGCTATAATTACAAATTAAAAAAAAAAAAGCAAGGGTCCAACAAACCTACAAGCATAGCTGCTCTAATAACATGATCCTCTAATAATTAGAGGGTTGGTGGTTTGAGCCCTGGCTGGTTCAGTACTGTGTGCCAATCCGAAGTTGCTCCCTGTGAAGGAATGTGTATTAATGTTAGATCAATTGGGCATAAAAGTGCTTTGGCAAATATGGCTTGTATTTAAAAAGTGCTTTGTGTGCTCAGAGTAGGAAATTGTTGTTTGAGAACAATGCCATCCACCACACAAGGGTTAACAGTGTGTACTCACTAGTGAAGTAATTCCGTTTCTCTATCTTGTCTTGCTGTGGCATTCTGGATAAATCATGTATTTTCATAGAGATTTTAGAAGAACCTAAATACAATAGTCAAGCCTAGAAGTGACAAATGAGTTGATTGATTGAGACAGGATGACCCTCAGGCTTCAGAATTTTGTTTTGACCTTTGAACCTCTTGATCCTTGTGTTCAGTTCCAGCTACTGCAGTGGTGGACACGTGCCCAGACTGTCCCACGGCCGAAAATCTGAATGAGCCCATTGTCAAAGAGACGGCCAATCTCTGCCTGCAGAGGTTCAATGAGGAGAGCCGCCTGGCCAACTACTTTACTCTGGAGAACATAACGAAAGCCAGTTCACAGGTTAAGACAGAAAAAGAAATGAAAAAGAAAAAGAAACCAAACGCAGGCAGAGAGTCAGTAAAGAAACAGGTTGAATACAAATTAAGCTTATGTGTGATTTCTTCTAAGCAAGTACTTTTAGTTTTCTATTCTTTTCAAAAGACTAGACCTAATGTAAAGCTCTTAGCAATTTTATCTGACTAGTTTTGGTCATAGTTCGCTTATTTTGACCTACCTCTGTCCTAAACTAGGCTTTCATAAATATATTTTTCAGTGGGTTGTTGGTCCGTCCTACTTTGTGGAATTCACTATAGCGGAGACAGTTTGTTCAAGGGAAACAGATGTCAGTGAACTGAGCCGCTGCACACCTATGGACTGTCAGTTTGCTGTAAGTAATGAGAAAATAATGCTCTGTTTACTCACCATATGTTCATAAAACTGGACTGCTACCAGGCTGAAGCTGAAAAACTGCCAATAATCTGCTGTTGAATGTGAAACTCCTCTGACAGTGATGAAAGAATACGCATAGATATCTTAAAGACCAGTAATGCACCTTACACTCAATTTATAATTATAATATTTGTCTTAAGACTCTGTGGTTAATTTATCATGTTTAAACCTATGTTCATGTGCCTGGTCTCACCTTTGATGTGCTCTGTGTACTGCATCCAATCTCCACTGGCTCCAAACAAAAATCCCCCAAGCTGTAAATGCAGGCTCAGCTCTCCTTGTTTTCTCTCTTCTCAGCACAGAGGCTTCTGTTCGGGCTCACATGTGGCTCGTGAGGATCAGTTTGAAATCAGAAACCCTGGTGGCAAAAGGGATGGCTTGATTCAAGATAAGAAACCTGTAGAGGTGAAATGTGAGATCTATGAACCTCAGGTACTTGTTTGAACAACACAAGACTTAAATTATAAAAAAAAGTTCACAAATCACAAATTTGTGAACTTTAAAAAAAATAAAATAAAAAATAAAAAAAAGTTCACAAATCTTCACAGTCTATCACTGCACTTCTGATATTTTGATTGTTAAAGGGTTTTTAAAACACAGTTCGAAAATGTTGACAAATGCTTCATTGCTGAGCACCACCGCTCTCTTGACTATCTTCCGTTTTCAGGCTTCCTCTGTGGAGGCGCAGGCTCACGCAAAAGCAGGCAGTGTGCACACTGAACACCAGCAGCATAACCACACTCACCTGCATCCCCATGAGCACCTCCACTCAGACTCACCCAGCCCAGACATTACACTCTCCGTGTCTCAGAACCTTGGGACTGTGGTGAATCAGCCTGCCTCTCCCAGAGCTTCACCAGCAGGCAGCTCCTGCCCCGGACCCCGCAGACACAATCTGGGTTTACGGAATCTCAGGCTCTGATTGGTTGAACCTTCAGTACTCAGTCCAGAGATTGCTTTTAACCATATTGCAATTAGTTCAAGACAAGAAATGGTAACTAAAACCTTGCAATTAATACAGAAAAAAAATCTGTCTTTACTGTTCATTGATCATTTAAATAAAGTATTTATCACAGCTGGAAGTTGTATAATTTATTTCTATCAGTTTAGCAAATCGGTACTTTACCTAATCAAATAATGACCCCACTGTAGCAACTTCTTGGACACATTTTATTTTTAAAAAGTAACTCTTCTCATTTTAAGCTACATATTACTTTTGGGGGGGTTGTTTTATTTATTTATTTTACTTTATTATTTTGCAGGGGGGTATGTATGACCTCATTATTTGTTGATTTGGCCAGTTTAGCCTATTTGTAGGCTAAACAGCATAAGTTAACAAACTTATCAAGAGGCTATCACGTTTTTGATTGCCTCTCATCATATCTAAATGATAGATGTTTTTTTGTTTCCATTACCAGTTTTAGATCTGCAGACTTAAGCTTTTGAATACATGTTGGAGAGCCCAAAGCACACAAAATAGCTAGCTCTGAAATGAATTAGAAATACACCAACCCTCAGCACTTCCCAGACAGATCGGCAGTATTTAAGGCCATTCCATTGGGGGGAGAGGAGGGAGGGTGTGCATGACGTCTGCAGGATCAGATATTCCAGATAAAACCTACACTCTCAAGGACAACTTGCCGTGGTCGTATAGTGGTTAGTACTCTGCGTTGTGGCCGCAGCAACCCCGGTTCGAATCCGGGCCACGGCATAACTACTTTCTCCAGACATTAAGCTCCAAAGTTGGAAATGCAGAATCAGATCTGCTTGTTTTCTCTCTTCTCACAGAGGCTTCACACGTGGCTCATGAGAATAAGTTTGAAATCAGAAACCCTGGCGGCAAAAGGGGCATTTCGTTTCAAGATAAGAAACCTGTAGAGGTGAAATGTGATATCTATTGGTGCTGAACAGAGACAAGACAGAAAGATTTGCTGTTGCTCCAAAAACACAGAGACAAAACTTTTGTTTCCATATTTATCATCCCTTTCTCTGAAACACAGTAAGCAAGTCAGGAATGTTGGTATCTCGCGGTAACTCGCGATATCCTGCCTGCTCTAATGTAAAATTCTTGTGTTCTAAATCCCATAGTACTACATAAAAATTGGGAATTCTCATGGTTTTGAAAATTAATTATATTCATTATGCATATTTCAAAATTGTATACTTTATATTAGCCTACTAGATCATTATTACGATCCATTAATGAGTAATATACATTGAAACATTTAGCAGCAGAGTTGTATTTAAAACCAATAATCTGCATCTACAAAAGCATTAGCTACTTCAGCTTTTGAACACATGTTGGAGAGCCCATAGCACAAATAATATCTAGCTCTGAAATGCATTAGAAATACACCAACCCTCAGCACTTCCCAGACCGATCGGCGGTATCTCAGGCCATTCCGTTGGGGGGGCTGGTGACGTCTATGGGATCAAATATTCCAGGTTAAATTGGCGTACTGAGGACAGCTCGCCGTGATCGTATAGTGGTTAGTACTCTGCGTTGTGGCCGCAGCAACCCCGGTTCGAATCCGGGTCACGGCAGTTTTTGCCAAAGTGCTTTTGTAAGAGTATGAAATCCATTACTGGTCGTATAGATATTACCAATAATTATATCTCTATACGTAGGTTTTTGTAACTTTTTCTCTCTTTTTTGTATAGCGAGTATATACCAGTAGGGATGACACGAACACAGTGAATAGATAGAGTGGCTGCAATAAGTGTGTACATATTTCCGCCTACTCCATTTCGTACTCGGTGATTGAGTTCTTACTTCACGTGAGATTTTGTTTGAGCACATACGTGTGTATGTCTATGAATATATATGTGTGTGTGTGTACACGTAGTATGTGCGCATATGTGTATGTCTATATATGGCTTTGTTTTACGAAAAAGTAAAACGTAATGTAATCATCGTCATCATCAGCTGTTTATCTATGAATATAACACTTTCTTCGGTGTGTGTGTGTGTGTGTGTATGTACCATTACACACACATACACAATCAGTTTACAAATGTATTGTAACTAATACAACCTTTAAAAAAGTTTTCTTCTCTGCTGTCATATCAGACAGCAAATTCTTTCTTTTTAGACAGTTTTAGGCTCTTGGCTGACTCGTGATGCCCACAACAGGAGAGCACTGCAGTCATCTGTGGTGAAAGTTTCGTGTGCCGTTAAGGCGGAAGCACACAGTGTGCACTGTGACAGAATGTAGGCCGGTTCAGGAGAAGAATAAACCTGGCAGACTGCCATCTCATGTAGAAATACAAATTGATATACTCATTTATAAAAGAGGCTTCTGGCTGCCAAGAACAACATGTGGTTATTTTTATCTGTCAAATGCTTTGCTACCACATCTGTGTTGACAGTTGTGTTAAAACAGACATCAACAGCCTACATAAATTGTGTTTTCTAACACATTAAAAAGATGTATGAGATGCAAAAATCACACTGGAAATAACAAGCCATACTATTCAAAACTACTGGTTTCTTCTTAATAGAAGACAAGAAAACTGAGCTAATTCTCCTCTTATTTCTGTTAACCAATCCAGTGTTACACACTTTACTATGTGTCCACATGGTGTCAGCCTTATCTCTCTTTTCACTTCAACGAGTTCACACTGGACAGTTTGTCCAGTAATCCTAAAAGATAACTTCAGAGTTTTCTCTTTTTTCCCTTTATGCTACTGGATTAACTGCTGCACTTTTGTGCTTCCAAACTGGCTGCAGGGGCTGAAATCTAACTAAACTGCCATAAAATTGCATTTGAATATTTATAGTGCTCAGAAAACTACCTGACTTTTTCTCCTAGTAGCACCATGGGAAACTTGAAGTCTCACCCATGTTTTTACAATATATCACGGATTAGCATTAAGTATTGTAAATGTTTATTCATGCCATCTCCAGGATGAATTACAGGACTTTTCACAATTGCTCAGTTATACCTAAGATTCAAGATTCAAGAAGTTTATTGTCACACTGCAAAACACAAGTGGTTACGCAGAGCAATGAAATTCTTACTTTGCAGGTTCCCTTCACACCACTAAATAACAATTAACTAAAATAAAGAATAAACCTAACCCTGAGCATGGAAAATAGCATAGAAAATAATAAATGAAGTAAAAACAAGTGCTTTGTAGCTTATGTAGCTTATGTGTGGGTGTAGTCAGAATTTAAAGTGAAAGTAGTTGCAACGCTTTCACAGTGGTTATATATAGAAAGTATGCAATATTAAAATTTTTATATTGTAAAATGTATACTGTATACCTAAAGTATATTCTCAAGAGGTCAAAATATCTGCATCTTCATTTGCAAGTATGATGCTGACATTTTAATGTTAGTAAATGCTAGCATCAAGCTGAGCATTTACTTCAAAGCAAATGTGCCAAAGTAGCCACAGTCTCACCAAAAACCAAACTAACTGTTGGTCATAGACTGTATATAAAAATGGCTACCCGTTGCTTTCTGGCCATAGCAATTTGAAACCTCAACAGTAGAATTTTGGACGCCATCTGGGTTTTTCTTTTTTGGAAATAAGCAGTTGTATCCAGTCTGTGTCTGTAGCCTTTACGCCCCCTTCTTGGTGTGATTGGACCTTTTTGCAGTATTCTTGATTGTATTTCTCTTTTAATGGATTTCTGTCATAAAAAAAAATATGGCTTGCTGTTTTTTACAGCATGGTCAAAAAGAAAATCTCTGCATCAGTTTAGGTGAATAAAATTCCAATAATTATTTAGCATTTATTTATTACTTAATACTAGTAAGCAAATATATGTAATGTATCTTGCTACCCAAGCTTGCTAGTGTTACCTTGTAACTTAACTAACTTAACCTAAATCTCCTTCTGGCTTAAAACAAATAAATATAGCCAAAGAAAACTCAAACAAATGGTAGAATGGTACATTGAAGCTTCTAAAAGTGTATTTTAAAACTATCAGGTGAATCATCATCTATATCCATCGTTTATATACAGTCTACATCACTGAAACACTTTTGGAGCCAGCCTCGAGTGGCTACTTCAGAAATCACTCTGTATTTGGCTGTTCCCCATTTGGCCTCATTCTTCAGCCTTGGATGTTGGTGCTTGCTATAGACACATCAGTTTGGGTTGATCCTAAAAGTGATGAATGATACAGCTTTTAAATTCCTCTGTAAACCACAATATATGAGCTACATGACAGTGTTGCAGATATTTGGCATGAGTGTCAAAAACACCATTAAAACAAACACTGCAATAAAATCAACGGTGGTTGTTATGAGAATCAAAATTACAAACTGGAGTGACTGTAAGACTAATTTATCTCTTCAAACATATCTTTCAGTTGATCCTCTTTTTTTACCATCTATGTGACTTCACTCACTTTTACAAACAAGCACAGCAAAGACTTACATTTAATTGCACGTCCAAGCCTGCTACATAATTAACACTGGGTTGTATAAGCCTTTTATGTGCTTGGATGCTGTAACAGAGGCAGATTATATCTGTACTAATCTACCCCCAAGTGTGAAGTGAAGACAGCTTTTAATACTGCATGTTGCTACACAGCTTCAGGCACAATTGTAAATGTCATTAGCTGTCCCGCTGCTTCCCTTCTTGTCTGCCTTCTTTGTTGTGTGGCCCACATTCTTTAAAGATCTCCATTATTAATTTAGCTTAAAAGGCCCTCAAGATGTGTAAGGCTGTGCATGCATGCATGTGTGTGTGTTGTGTGGGGACTGTCTTTTAAACCTACCGTGTCTGTGTTTTTCTTGTTGCTTGTGGCTAAGACAAAAGATATCCCAGGTTCAAAGCTCCTGCTGACCTTAACAATGCATGATGTTGGTACCAAAAGAACAACAGGGCTCTGATTCACACTAAAAACTAAACTGATGAGTTAAGATAAAGCTACTGAAGTGAGCATCTTTTAGAATACCAGCTTAGTGTGGATGAATGTTGTGGTAAATAGTCTCAGACAAGGTCCTTCCTCATGGGAAAGCAAAATAGATATGATGAAGTGGTATGAGTGGAATTCCTAAATATGTTGATGCCTCAGCCACCTGAAACTAATGGAAAATACCACCTCACCTTTCTTGTATTTATTT